AGTGAGTTCCACACACCAAAACAAGGATAAAAGTCCATCTAAATATATGTCCACAAAACCTTCACCCCCGTAGTTTTTAAAAGCATTTTTGATAAACTCTGTGTGTGTGTGTGTGTATATATATATATATATATATATATATATATATATATATATATATATACTTTGAGGTAATTGTTCAGATGAACTCTTCAGTGTGGTACCTAGGCTTTATGAATTTAAGTTCAGTACTAGATTAGCAGCAAGGTCTCATCAATTTACAGTTGAATTGAGTTGATGTAATCATAAGTTCTATACTAATAGTTTCTTTTCTTGCACTTTTCACATGTGCAACTCTCTTCCAGCTTCTTGTTTTCCAGTCAAGTTTGATGTTCAAAAATTTAAATGCAATGTCAATCATTATTTATTGTCTTCCTGATTACTCTTCCAGACTTCTAGCTCCTCAATAATGCTTCTGTTTTCTAATTTTTTCACACCCAGTAACCCCTTTTGTTTTAGTGGCTTTACTGGGATGCTTCGGGTTATTTTGACTCGATAAAAATTTTTTTTTAAAATTCCTTTCTTATGCAAGTTTCATTAAAGAAAACTGACAAGCTACTGCAGTTAAGTTTTTTTATTCAATTCTTGTTCTAGTTCTACGCACCATACCTTTTCTGGACATCTGAGTTTCAGCTTTCAGTTATTTCCCTTTAACTCAACTCCTCAAGTTTTTTGTTTATATCTGCTGTGGCCAGGTATTGAACTCCAACATCTTTGGGTCAAGTCACTGGATTATTTCAACCAACACTTTTCAAGGACACATGGCCCAGTGGATAAAATGCCAGAGTTTACAATGGTCAAAATATTGTGAATATGGCAACAATGATGAGGACAACAGTCTGAACAATGTAAATAATTAGAATACCTTATCTCATAAATATATATATATATATATATATATATTATAAATTAATTGATTAAAATATGGTTATTTTCCTACACAGTTCCAACCATGTTTCAAAAATAGAAGCTAAAACCCTAATTTTATTTTTGCAAATAAATTAAAAGCATTAGTTCCATTTCATCTTCAAGCGAATTTTGAGTAACTTTAAAATTTACCGGGTTTTAAATACACAGCTAAAATCACGTTTCCATGGTTACAGAATATTCTACTCAAATTGAACACGGGGTGTCTAGATTTTCCTTATGACAGTATCATTGTATCAGTTATTAGCTACATTTTGGTAAGGGGTGAGGATGTATTTTACACTGAAACCTGACGTCGGTTGAATGGATGTCGTCTGAATTTAAAAAAAAAAAAAAAAAAAACTGTTATTTAAAATTTAAAATTGTGGTTAAAACGTATTAAAAAACATAAACACCGTTTAAAAATTGTAGTTAAATAAAATGTATCCTAACCGAAACACCTCTATAATAAAATGTACTACAAACACTTGAATGAATCCGATAAAACACCTCCTGAAAAAATGAAATTATAACTAAAGCTAGATGATGTAAGGTAATGTATGACCCATTGTTCTTTGTACATACATATGAAACTTTATTACTCAGGTTACATATATTTAAAATAAATAATTTAATTAATTAATACATAAAAGTTTACTAAATCTGAGAAATGACTTAGATAGTTTTGTAGTCTGTGCCATTTATATTACTTAAATATTTAAATATAATAGTTTAAAAATTGTAATTTACATATACTTTGTTATGGAAAATAATTATACTTACTATGAGTAATTATCCTTCTGTTATAAAAGTAATATAGTCAATTAAAACTAACAATGAAAATATTTTAAAATTTTAATGTGGTAATTTTAAAATTGTAATTAAAATTGTAGTTAAACAAAATGAATTCTAACCTGTTCTTGGTACATACATATGAAACTTTACTACTTAGGTTACATATATTTAAAATAAATAAATAAATTATGTAATAAATAAAGTTTACTAAACTGAGAAATGACTTGGCTAATTTTGTAGTAAGTTCCATTAATATTACTAAAATAATATTTTAAAATATAAAGGTTTAAAAATTGTAATTTATATATACTTGGATATTGAAAAATAATTTTACTTACTATGAGTAATATTCCTTCTGTTATAAAGTAATATAGTCTAATATAACTAACAATGAAAAAATATTTCAAAAGTTTAAAGTTTGTAATTTTAAAATTGAAACTAAAATTAAAGTTAAATTGAATGAATTCTAACCTAAATTTCTTTTAAATAATACTACACGCACTAAAAAAGAATCCCAAAAAGCAAATATAGTAAAATAAAATTAATATGAAATGCCATAAGATGTAAGCTTTTGAATGACCCATGTCCTTTGTACTTACATGAGAAACATTATATCACTAGGTTTATATATATTATATATATATATAAAAAAAAAAAAAAATGTAACCTCATATACATACTTAAACTTGAATTAATACATAAAGTTTACTAATTCTGAGAAATGACTTAGATAGTTTTGTAGTCTGGGACATTAATATTACTTAAATAATATCTAAATTAAAAGTTTAAAATTGTAATTTACATATACTTTGATATGGAAAAAATTTTTTACTTACTATGAGTAATTATCCTTCTGTTATAAAGTAATATAGTCTCAAATTAAAACTAACAATGAAAATATTTTAAAATTTTAAAGTTATAATTTTAAAATTGAAATTAAAATTGTAGTAAAATAAAATGAATTCTAACATGTTATTTATACATACATATGAAACTTTATTAATTAGGTTACATATATTTGAAATAAATAAATTAATTAATTAATAAATAAATAAAGTTTACTAAATCTGAGAAATGACTTAGCTAGTTTTGTAGTAAGTGCCATTAATATTACTTAAATAATATTTAAATTTGAGAAAGGAAAAAAAAGGAAAAAAAAAAATTTACATATACTTTGATATGGAAAAATAATCTTACTTAATATGAGTAATTTTCCTTCTGTTATAAAGTAATATAGTCTATTAAAACTAAACAATGAAAATATTTTAAAATTTTAAAGTAGTAATTTTGAATTTGTAATTAAAATTGTAGTTAAATTGAATGAATTCTAACCTAAATTTCTTTTTAAATAATACTACACGCATTAAAAAAAGAATCCAAAAAATAACACCTATAGTAAAATAAAATTAATATGAATACCATAACATGTAAGCTTTTTGAATGACCCATGTCCTCAGTACTTACATGTGAAATATTATAATAATAGGTTTATATATAAAAGAAAAGTTTACTGAATCAGTGAAATTAAGTAAACCATTTCTGCTGTCATAGTCATATAAAAAAAAAAAAAAAAAAAAAAAAAAAATGTAACCTCACATACATACTTAAACTTAATGTTAAAATAATCCTACATAATATAATGGATTCTAATACATTTAACTGTTCTTAAAAAGAATATAGTAAAATAAAAATTAAAAAGGAAAATATTTCAAATCGTAGTTAAATAAAAAGTATTGTAAAAAAATCTTTAATTTTAAAAGATGACGTTGAAAATTTTTACCGTTAACAATTTTTTTTTTTTTTTTTTTTTTTTAAATTCAGACGACATCCATTCAACCGACGTCAGGTTTCAGTGTAAAATACATCCTCACCCCTTTACCAAAATGTAGCTAATAACTGATACAATGATACTGTCATAAGGAAAATCTAGACATCCCGTGTTCAATTTGAGTAGAATATTCTGTAACCATGGAAACGTGATTTTAGCTGTGTATTTAAAACCCGGTAAATTTTAAAAGTTACTCCAAAATTCGCTTGAAGATGAAATGGAACTAATGCTTTTTAATTTATTTGCAAAAAATAAAATTAGGGTTTTTAGCTTCTATTTTTGAAACATGGTTGAACTGTGTAAAGCGAAAAAATAACCATATTTTAATCAATTAATTTATAATATTAATGCTCTGTAAATTTACATTGAGCACTATTTTGTAAAAATAAAATATCTATAAGAACACCGGATTTTATATCTTACTGTTCTTTCTTTTTATTTATATACATATATATATATATATATATATATATATATATAATGAAAATCTTGGTGATCCATATGGATAATACCAAGGAGGATGAAATCCTGACAGCTCAATGTTAAGTCAGAGCGAATAATTTAATTTAAAGAAAAACAGACCACTTTAAAGCTCCACTTGTAATAATTTATTTCACCAGAGAATTTTATTTTTCTCTGGATCTTCAGACTTCACTTTCAAAAGATGAAATGAAAAATGAATTTAAAATTTACACTTTTGATGGGCAGTATTAAGCTTATATAAGTTGACATAGAAGGAGGTGAGGAATTTATATATATATATATATATATATATATATATATAGTGGCAATGAAAAAGAAAACAGTCTGACTGTGAAAAAGTATTTCTGTTCTCTGTAATGCCTGTCAAAAATGAAAATCAAGATCAGGTTGACTTTAGCTGGCCTCAAAACATGGTAATTTTATACACTTTTTTACCAGTCTCCAACAATGCCAGCCTTTCTTATCCCCAATAAAAGAACACTACTTTGGACAAATTTAATGTTGAATCATGTAACTTATCTTTCATATTGACCCTTGTACCTTTTCTTTCATGTTAAATCATGTACCCTATCAATATCGGTGTTTATATAGAGCTTTTATTTATCTATACTCAAAACTGATCATGTGTTATTTTGATTTGTTATATAACAAATAGATAACATCTCACTGCCACATTAACTGCTGTTAAAAACATTTACTTAATTGGCTCATGTTGACAACTTATGAATTGATTATTCTCCTTAACCCACTTCAAATAAATGCCTGTGGTTGGTAAGTGGTAGAATTTAAACCCGACCTCCTGAAAAAAACAAACTCAAAAACTGTTCATAAAACAAGAAACAAAAGGAAACAAAAAATAGAACAGTTAACTACATTTGTAACTATGGCAATATGAGACACACAAAATCTGACATTTATATACTGTAGAAATAGAGATTGCTTATGGCCACAGCCATATCATGTTGAAACACCACTTCTCATACAATCATTGAAGTTAATCCATGTTGGACCTGGTTAGTACCTAGACGGGTGACTGCTTGGGAATACCAAATGCTGCTTCAATGTGCAGGTGGTGTAATTGCTAATGGCTTGGAATTTGAAATCAAAGAGCCAAGTTTCAATTCCAGTCAGGTTGGTTATATTCACTTATACTCTTCACAAATACTCTTGAGAAAGGTATAAATTCACCTCTTCTCTCCCAAGCTATGGGTTAATTAGTAAGACTTGTATCAGTAAATCATTATTAGCTCCAAAACATTCTAAAAACATTTTCTGGCTTTAAATAACCTGCAAAAGGTTGATAAGGTGTAAAAAAACAAATCAATCAAAAATATTTTCTTTATGGTAGTGTATATATACACTATAGGCCAAAGTTTAGGGACACTCTCTGGACTTAATAATTGGTAAGATACTTTGGTATATGGATCAGTTATAACAGATTTAGTATAGAACATAAGGAAATTAAGCCTAAAATAGACTGTGCCAGAGATAGTTTTGCCTGACACAAGAAATTGATATAAAACCAAAACATCAACCTGAAAATTCAACTCATGTTCTTAAATAGCCTCATCAGATCATGACTTTCATAATGATGTCATGCATGGTGCCAGACCCATTCAGAAATATCTAAACTCTCAATTGCATACGACTACTTCCAATGATTAAAAAGGCTTTGAGTAAATGTTACCTGAGGTTCTTGGCAAAGATTAACCTTCTTTGAAGATTGTTGTCTGGTATTACAGAATCCCTAACAAGGACATTACTGAATAACAGAAACTACATATCACTTGAGGGTTACCAACAACAGCAATAGCTAGAATGGGTAGCATATTATGGTGAACACACCTATTATATAGTTAATAGACTCTCCCACCTAATATAAGTAGGAGTAGTAATAGAAAAGGGGGGGGCAGTCAGTGAGTTGATGTCGGACGACAGTCGAATATGAAAGTATCAGCGACCACAACAAGATTACTCTGCATAATACTTATTATATCAAGTTCCTAACGTTTTGTACGTCGAACCCATTTTAGGACCGATTTAGTACAAATACAATCCTCCACTGCGAAATAACTCCACAACACATATGCAATTCAAAGAGAAAATGACATAATCAAGATGTTAATGATTCACACAGCTTCAAACAAGATTAGGAAAGAAACCCCCATCAATACTGGAAAGAGCAATAACAGCTACTGGACTTGAGAAACCCATTTTCCTGAAAAATTGTTTGAAGAGAAAAATTTTATAAATTTCAACCGAAAGCAGTACCAGCAGCTTTATCAATGAGTGCCAAATGTTTCCTTCTACGAATTCTTGTAATATTACCATTACTATTTAGTTTAACTCATACTAAGCTAGGATTCTGAAACTATTTATACATGGCATCCATTTTTTTTTTTAGGGAGTAGGGTGTATCTAAGTTTTAAAATCTGCCTAGCAAGGAAGATTTGGCAAAAAGAGCAAAGATTTTAAGAAAACTTTCTGCACTAATGGGTTAATTTCATTGTTATCATTGAATATATGCTTAAAAACTTCAGGAAGAGAAAGTCCCTCTGACCAAAAGAGAATGAATAAATGAGTTTCTAAAAAGGCATGAAACCTTCAATTTTTAGGTAATTCTTCAGAATCCTGAGGGTGCCCTCAAACATTTGGCCTATAGAATACAATATGACTCATCATTACAACACAGCATATGAACTTCTATGTGTCATGTCCTTTCAGGATATGGGCAGTCATGGTTCTTCACAACTTCCTGCTCTTTGTAAACCTTAGTAAAGTTTGCCTTTTTGCTATATTTTTTAATCCCTGTTCTACCAACCATTTATGCTAGCTTGATAGGTAGATTATGTATTGCTATCCTCTGTCTCTCTTGGCTTCAATATGTCCCACAAGTGTCAAATTTTTCAAGCCCACATAAGAACTAATACAGCCAAAACAGATCTACTTAGAGTGGGATAAATTTCAAATCCAGCAGACATTAGTGGCTTCACATCAACACTCTGATTAGAATCTTCATTACCTCTTCTCTGGTTGCCAGCCAAGTTTACCCTGCTATTTAACCCATAGCTGGTGGGAGAAGAGATGGATTCATAACTTTCCCAAAGGTATTTGTGAAAGTTCCATAGTCTCCTCTTCCATGAAAACTACAGAAAAAAATATTTGGAAGTTTTTGTTTAATAAAAAAAAAAAAAATGTACATTACTGAGTGAGTGAAACTCTGAGTGGGTAGTCAGGTAGTTATGGGAGAATGATTTTCCAAACTGGCTACTTTCTTCCTCATCAGTCATTACTTTCATACTAACAAGATATTTTTTACACTATTGTCCTCATCCTTTTTGGCTGTTTTACGCTCTACAATGTTGGAATGTTGAACTGAACCCTTTATTTCACTCGCAGGGTAGACTGTTTTAGTTCCATGTGCCAATGGAACTAGAACATATAATGAATGTCAGTTATCAGTTATTTCCTGTTAATTCACTTCTCCACTGCCTTAACCAAGTATTGAACTCACAACTCTTAGGGTCCTGTTACTGGATCTAACCAACGCCTTTATCTACTGTGTCATGTGTCCTTAAGGACATCTGTGTACAAATTTCTGGGACTTATAAACTTAATGTTTTCAGCATCCATTTTTAACCAGTGCTCATATTGCAATTTTTGCTGTTATCATTGCATGTTTTTTACCAGAGCTCATATTGCAATTTTCATTGTTATTATTGCTTTTCTCTGGCACTCCTCATTACTGGTTCGCATATTGTATTCATATAGACAGATACTGAAGATATTTTTTGTTAAGATTGAAATCCCCCACCTTTATTAGGCAACTTTTGGATATCTATATAATACAGGGTGTGACAGAAATACCTCCCACATTTTAACAGTTCATCAAAAAAACAAGGTAATTGCCATTAAAAAAATTTATTTCACTGTTATATAAACAATAGTCTATAGTTTTTATTTATTTGCTTTTTAAAATGGTGACCTATTTGCCATACATTTTTGTAATGATTTCAAAAATTTTTCGTCATCCACATGATCGAGCACTTTGAGATCTTTCAGTTGGCTTTCTTTTAAGCACTGAACCCGTGACCCTGAAATTTTTAATCCATAGAAGTTTTGAAGTCCAGAACAGCATCTTTACAATGTAACATGAAACAAGTACAAAAAGCCCTGTGTTGCAATTACAGATACACCAGTCTTAAAAAAATGTTTTAAATGCAAACACACAGTATGCACACTCCAATCCATGATGATAAGTTGGGGGTATCAGAAAAACAAATTGTAAGACATTTGCTAGAGGAAGACACCATTGGCACTTGCCCAAGCTCACTATCATTGCACAGGTGACAGTTTAAAATGTGGGAGGTATTTCTGCTGCACCCTCTATATTGTGGGTAAATTAAATAAAATCATTAAATAAAATAATGAATAATAAAAAAAAAGAAGATATACTTTTTCCCATGATGCTAAGAGTAAAGGAAGCAGAAATATGATTACCCCACTCTTGGCTTTGTAAAATGCCATTAGGTGGCGCTATTGAAGTCTATAAAAAACAAACATTTTCCTGACTTTTTCCTCCTTTTTGCTACAAGATTTATAACCACATCGTAATTACATTCTTACTGGGGAATGTTAGTTTTCCCAGTCCACTGATAAATGAACTCTCATTTCACTTTCCAACACATGATGCATGCACATGTCTTCCAAAACCCCTCCACCTATGAAGTAAGTCAAGCTTTCTCTTTGGATGTTCCAACTCTGTGCAAAGTTTACTTGAGCTTGACCATTGATATGAGACTTAGACTTACTTACCCTAACTTTTGGACCAAAAGGAAAATGAACATACCCAGGAGACATTAAAAACTTTGTTTCACTACAGTTTATATGACAAAAAGAATAAACAGTCTGTGGTAGAAACTGAAGTGGACACAGTGTGGATGCAGAAATAAACACCGAATTGCGACAGTCTGTTTCATGATTGGATACAAATTTCAGGCCATGATGAAGATTGCATTCAAACATAAAACTGACTATCATTCACTGTTGATCTCTTCATCCACACTACTTATGTATATAAAAAAAGTGTGCAATGATTGTTGGTGGTAATAATAAAACAGTGCTTGATATAAAGTAATAGATGTCAAATTTATATTAAGAATAGTTATACATTTTTTCCTCATTGTTTGCTGCAAATCTGAGTTTTATAGCAATCACCAGATACAAAAATTGTGCCTGATGATTGCTATGTCTATGAAACTCAGAGTTGCATTGAATAGCGATGAACAAATGTAAATTTATTGTTTTATATATATATATATATATATATAATTATTTATTTAAAAATATGATTCCAACATGCTACATAAGAGTAGCGTGTTGGAATCATATTTTTAAATAAATAATTATATTTATGCTCTACTTTTGTATCGAGCACTATTTTTTAAAAATAATAACAAAAATACTAAAGAAATTTGGATTATTTACCTAACGAGTTCTTTCCTATTTTCTATATATTTTTCACATACATATATATATATATATATATATATATATATATATATATATATACACTTGTAGAAGACATCAATATTATAAACTAATCTAAGTAGAAAACACTGAAAACTAATGAAAGGCTTAAGAATAAAAGAAAACATGAAATCAACTGTTAGTAACTTTGAACATGGACACAATGTGCTGATTGTGTTCAGGAATTAAAACATTTCTGTTGCTAAAAGAATTACCATTGCAATCTAAATATTAAGACAAATAAAACCACTCTTGATAATGACAAATATATTAGTGCATAGTGTGCAAGCCCAAAGATCACTTGGACATTTCTTATATCGTCTATGTCCAAGAAGAAATGTCTTGTACTCAAGCCAGAAAAACTATAAAAAAACAATCACAGTGCTTTTTGAATTGTCTTCAATTAAACCTGTATAAAAGAGGGATTGTTGTCAAATTATACACATGTTTTAGTATATAAAGCTATTTCTGGTTTCTTGTATTATCCTAATGGTTGCCACCTACTAAACAACTGTGAATATGATATAAT